TGTTAAATCCTAGCTACAATAAAAGACATTTTTACATTGGCTAATGAAAATGTAATCAATGTATTAAGAGGTTGTTTTATTTATTACAAGATTTATATCTGGAAATCTAAACAATGAATTATTTTTTGTTAAAAATTGTTAAAAATAGTAAGCAGATTATGATCTTTTCATCCAAAATATTCTAACAGTTCTTTTATTTTCGTTTTATTTGAAATGAGATGCAACTTCTATTATTTATGATAGCGATGGAACATATACACAAAAAAAACATATAAGTGAGATAACTACCAAATTAATGATTTACAAGTTTATTCTTATTATTTATAAAATAGGTTTGCAATGTGCTGATGTGGAATGTTATCATCGACTAAAAACTTTAAATCTTTGCATTAAATTGATCGAAAACAATCCATAAATTGGTTTAGACTGTATAGAATGTTTCTAGTAAGCAGCGACTAATTTTTATTATGGAACCGAAAGACCCTTTTGAAAGGGTTCAAAATTAAAATAAAATATGTACCACGTAAATGTAGTAGTATTTTTTAATTTATATTGAAAATGGTAAACATGAAAGGTTTTCTGTCTAATTGTAAGTAACGACTCATACAGCCGTATGCATAGTCGATCGCCAGCGACTCGCCAGAAATTCATTTCGGCGTATCGCCGCCGGCGAAAGCCCAAAAAGCTGGCGACTCGCCGGAGATTGTCACCGGAATGTCATTTCACGCAAGTTTTCATGTTCTTTTATAGGGAAAAATTTGATATTCGTTCATTATTTTTTGAGTTTTAAGAAATGAATCATGAATAAAATGCGAGAGATACCGGTGATAATCCCTATAAAAGAAAATAAAAACTTGCGTGAAATGACATTCCGGTGACAATCTCCGGCGAGTCGCCAGATTTTAGGGCTTTCGCCGGCGGATCGCCAGCGAATCGCTGGCGATACGCCGAAATAAATCTCTGGCAAGTCGCTGGTGATCGACTATGCATACGGCTGATAGTCTCGGCTGACAAAATGTAAAAAAAATGTCGAACATAATATTCCTGGGCGAAAAGCAACTGCCCCCTATTTTGCACTCCCCAGATTAAATTTAGTTGTAGCACTACAGTACTAATGATTGCCTGTTTGGAAAAGTATCTTCGTTTGTAAATATTTATATGTATAGTTATATTTAATCCAGGTTAAATGTCAGTGCGCGAGTGTAATGTTAAGTACGAACAAAATCCACCCATTCTGTATATACGTTTAGTTACTTGCTTTAAGTAGGGAGAGAGAAAATCAATATTAGGATAAATGTTCCAGTCCATTTCTGGTTACGTATCTAAAAAGTATTTTAGTTTTTGGTTAAATAATTAATTGTAACAGTGATTTTCTTGAGATAGTACCTAATTTAGATTGTGGATTAACGTTTTTGTATATAACTTCGGTGTCTAATAATAAACGAAGTCAAAATTGGAACACGTTGTTTTATTCTGGAAAGTATTTTTAAATTGAATCACGTACGCCGTTCGAGTGAAAATGTTTTAAGTAGTTCAAAACAACATAGTTGTAGCAAATGATACTAAATCAAATAAGATGTCAAATCACAAGCAAAATCTCGTGACTACAGTACTGATTGCCAAAAATTAACTAATTCATATTTTATGCCATATCTTTCTTTAATAAGCACTTTCAGAACCATTACCTTAACATAGATTTTTTTCATCGTTTTCTATATAGAATCATCTCTAAAAATATATGACTGAAACATCGTGCCAACTACTTGTTCGATCAATAAAAAACTTGCACCGGTCCTGTTCGAGCCAGCACCGGTATACGCATGAGCTCCGACACACTATTTTCTCCTTATGGTTTCATTTTTGATATATGGAATCGGCTTTCTATACTATTTCTATGGACTAATCTCGGTTCAGTTGAATCTTTAGATATTGTATGTTAGTTCTTATTGCGTTTATCATCAGCCCCATGCAGCCGTTGACATAATTTATAGTAACGTAAAATATGTTCTAAGCTGAAAATTGATTGAAACATTTTCAGTGAAATACTTAACTAAAATATTTCATATAAATAAAAATTTCCTTGGTGTACGATTATAACTAATATTATTTTGAATACACCTTCACACGCTAAATCAAAAAGATGGGGTATCTGGCATTTTAAAAATTTTAAATTGTCTGTAATCGTCCCCATGTGTTTTTTAATGTTTTTATAATTTTGACTGCACCCGAAGATGGAAACAAAGGTTTTCGAAACATATGTAGTGATATGATAACGATATAAAATAAAATTAAGACCGAATACACCAAAGAAATTTTTATTTATATAAAATTCTGCTACGGTCTGGAAATTATCCTTATTAAAATATTTCAGAAACTTGTCCTTGAAATGTTATATGTTTGAAATATTTCTAATACACTTCTGAAATAATATGTGCTGCATGGGTAAATAAATATACCTGACTTTTATTTGAGCTATCACACAACATAATGATACAGTACTGGCAAGATCAATCCTTTGATCCTAAATTTGTTTGTGATGGAGTGAATAGTAAATGACTCTCGCACAAACAGCAAAAGAAATGACACAGTATCGATGTTGCCATTCACAAGTCGAGTCACAGGGTAACTGGCAACGTTAGTACCACAAACTTTCATCTCCTGTGCCCAAGAAAAGCAGTGTAGAAGGTTTGATCGTTTGATATTGCCACCACTGTACGTAATATATATAATCTAGGCCTTAGACGCCTCCCTCGCTTCCTTTGCGAAAGGATATGACCACCACTGTCTATCTATAGGGGTAGCGTGCTCACCAACGTCGGTGTTTAAACCTCGTAGTTAGAAATACACCGACGTTAAATAAATTATTGGAAAACAAATATATAGACATTCACCGTTTCACGTTTACTAAACTTAATCATCTATCCAAAAAGGGCTACGTACATCGTATAAGTCTATGGATCTAAAATGGATGTCCATTGGACTATGTGTGCTGACTGGGTGCTGGGCGTAAAAAGAGTACTATTTGGTAATTAAATGCATTTTTTCCTTTGTATCTTTTCTAAACGTACCTGTACAGGATATGGTAATATTCTTCCTTCCATAAAAAGAGGCGGTAGTAGAAATCCCGTAACCCAAAGTATACCAATACTTAACAACGGTACCATAATTACCATCATAGTAAAATAGAATTTTTTAAGCTTTTCGCTCGTAGTTCCCTCAATCAAATCGTAAGGCCAAAACTTCGTCATTATATCGTCTAACAATTCTTTCAAGGGTTGTGAGAAATACCATATAACTATCATTTTGAAGTTAGACTAAAAGACAAAAAATCAAACTATATACCGTATAAACTGTTATAGATAAATAAGTAATCTTTTACTATAAAATGACTGAATCGATGAGAAGAGACCAGACAAACTATTATATATTTATTTGTTTCTATTCCTAAAATAGAAAACTTACAATAGTTACTAATTAAGGTTTGTAAATAACTCAACCCTATCAATAAAAAGTTTACTTGACCAAAAAAATCTTTCTTTTTCTTTCTCTAATGCTTTTCAGGCGTCGGATCGGGATTCATTCTCTTCCTGGACCCATTTTTTCCATTCTTTTCTCTTCCTGGATATAGTTAGGTACTTCACGTTTATCAAAGTTTTACCCTATGTATTTAATCTGGTAAATTCATTTTCTTCTGGGCCATCCTCGTTGCCTTTTTCTTAATATACCTATGTGCATTACTTTTCTCTCTATTCCGTCTGTTTTCATTCTTACTAAGTGACCATATCAATTTAATTGTTGATCTTTGTCAATATTAGTTCCTGTTTAGTTGTTGCATATATCTTCTTATTCCCTACTGTCTCATTTAGTTCCATCCAGCCCATTCTCGATTGGAGTCTTTACCTTTCTTCCGCCGTCCAATCCTCCATTGCTAATATATTGTCGTTTTCCTCCCTTACTTCGTCTAAAACCGCTTCTAATTTTATATAATATTCTAGCATCTCTTCTTGTGCAGTTATTTCCACTGGGCCATATATTTATATTATATTAGTATTTATTATGTCTTCTAGCCATATACTTATTACAGTTATTAATAATAATAATAATAATAATAATAATAATAATAATAATAATAATAATAATAATAATAATAATAATAATAATAATAATAATAATAATAATAATAATAATAATAATAATAATAATAATAATAATAATAATAATAATAATAATAATAATAATAATAATAATAATAATAATAATAATAATAATAATAATAATAATAATAATAATAATAATAATAATAATAATAATAATAATAATAATAATAATAATAATAATAATAATAATAATAATAATAATAATAATAATAATAATAATAATAATAATAATAATAATAATAATAATAATAATAATAATAATAATAATAATAATAATAATAATAATAATAATAATAATAATAATAATAATAATAATAATAATAATAATAATAATAATAATAATAATAATAATAATAATAATAATAATAATAATAATAATAATAATAATAATAATAATAATAATAATAATAATAATAATAATAATAATAATAATAATAATAATAATAATAATAATAATAATAATAATAATAATAATAATAATAATAATAATAATAATAATAATAATAATAATAATAATAATAATAATAATAATAATAATAATAATAATAATAATAATAATAATAATAATAATAATAATAATAATAATAATAATAATAATAATAATAATAATAATAATAATAATAATAATAATAATAATAATAATAATAATAATAATAATAATAATAATAATAATAATAATAATAATAATAATAATAATAATAATAATAATAATAATAATAATAATAATAATAATAATAATAATAATAATAATAATAATAATAATAATAATAATAATAATAATAATAATAATAATAATAATAATAATAGTTTATTATTTGTCGATAATGGATGCACAATAATAAAAATATAAAGAAAAATACAATAATTACAGTAATTAGGCAAATAGAAGGCTGTGTGATAGGGCATAAGACCAATTCTACCTCATTCGCATTGAAAAAAATAAATAATATAAATAATAAAAATAAATTTTTAGATTAACTCAAAAATATAGTTAAAACATAATTATATTAAAAGGAACATTATATAAACTAATATTAAAATTTATACAGCTTAAAATTTAAAATGTCTCTTCGCGTAGTAAAAATTTGTCTTTATATATATTTTTAAAGGCTCTTAATGAAAGACTGAAATTTGGTATTTCAAGAAGATGACTGTTCATAGTCTGATCAAATGGTGTCCAAAAATGCCTGTTTCGTAATTAACATGAATGCGGTAGAAGTTTTCTCAACGGAATTATATGTTTTTTTGTGGTGCTGAACACAAATCTGAAGTTTGCTGCCTCGTAGCAGTGTCGCTTCAGTTGGAAAAAACGCAAAAATCCTCGAAATTTTTGAAGTTTTTCTGGTTTTCCGCTCATATAATGGAAACGACACATCGTACGGAAAATATCATTCTATTTAAAGTTGAAGAGCATAAAATTCTGCGTCGAAAAACCTCCCTAAATTTTAAATTAGACCGATTTATAAGGTCGCCATCGTCAGTCAAAAAATCTGATGTGTCCAACGCATGACTTTCCTATCTAGTTACTATAGGCTTTTTCCGGTTATTTTGTACAACCTATTGCAGCACCTCTATAAATATTTAGAGGATAAACTAAATATATACATTTTCCCATACATCTACCTCGAAACATTTTTCTATAGATATTTATTGAAAACGATAATACTGAAAAATTTAAATTTAGCACTCTTCCTCCAATTTTTCCATTACGGTCCATTGTAGAAAAATCATATATAAACAAAAATTATAGAGATCGATATCGCAATTTTCATAAAAATCAGAATTTTGCTCATTTTGTCAAATTTCTTGAATACGGACCATTTCAGGAAATTTTGACATAAAGCAAAAATTATAGATAATAATATTAAAAGTAACTTTTATTTAAAGAATTTTCTTCTCCAAACGTAAATAACAGATATATTCTATAAAATATAAAAATGATCACCCATAAAGTACCCCCCCAGATGTTCCGACTCTGCCCAAAAACTAATCAGTTCATTGGACGATGGAATATAGCTTAAGTTTAAAATTTGGTGTATTTCTGTGTATCGGTTCATGAGTTATGGTGGATACAGGTGTCTGTAGGTGTACACACGCATACACACACGCACACACACACACACACACACACACACACACACACACACACACACACACACACACACACACACACACACACACACACACACACACACACACACACACACACACACACACACACATTTTCATAGATTTGTTGACAGCAGCAGATATGTGTTGATTGAAGCCTAAAATAGGATCGAGAATAATTCCAAGGTCTTTAATTTGATAAACAGAGTCTAAGATATGACCATTTAAGTTATAGTTAAATGTAGTTGAAGGTAGGTGGGAACGATAAAAACGCATGATATGGCATTTATTGGCATTCAAGTCCATGCCATTTAAAGAACACCGTTCTGATAAGTTATCGAGGTCAGACTGAATTCTACGGGCATCATCATGGGTTTTAACAATTTGGAAAATGTTTAAGTCATCTGCAAATAATAAAGCTTTGCTATTGCGCAAACAATAAACTATATCATTAATGAATAAGTTAAATGGTAAGGGGCCTAGATGTGATCCCTGAGGAACACCTGAGGTTACTTAAAATAAGTTAGAATAGTGTCGATTTGCTCTAACCATTTGGGTTCTATTAGTTAGGTAGCTGCCAATCCATTGCAGTAATACCCCACCCAGACCATATTTGTTGATCTTTTAAAGTAGGAGAATATGGTTAACCCTGTCAAAAGTCTTGGAAAAGTCAGTATAGACGGAATCGATTTGTAAACCTTCATCCAAGGCTACTGACAAGAAGTCGATATATGTGATTAAATTTAACTCTGTTGATTTTCCAGCACAAAAACCATATTGTTTTTCAGTTATGAAGCCGGAGCAATCATAAGTAAGGTAATCAGTTATAATGTTTTCAAACAATTTAGGTATTATGCTGAGAATTGAGATTGGTCGATAATTTTTGATGTCAAATTTGCTACCCGATTTGTATATTGGGATAACATGAGAAAGTTTCCAGTAATCGGGAAACTCTCCTGTGTCGATTAATTTGTTGAAAATATGAAAGAGAGGGCGAGACAATATGAAGCTGCAATTTCTTAGTAGGATGGGAGGAATAGTGTCAGGGCCTGGCCCTTTTTTTATATCACGGTTTGACAGTTTATCGTAAATGGTCGAAATTGGGATGTAGTATGAAGAAACATTAAATTTAGATTCAATTTGGCTATCATTTAAATTTACGATATGTGTGGTGTAGAGTGACAAAAAATGCCATGCAAACAGATTAGCTACTTCACTGCCGCAACATGTAAGAGAGTTCTCCAAATTCATTTTATCAGGTATGCTGTTATTTGCTCTTTTACTATTAACAAAATTCCAAAATGATTTAACGTTAGTCTTAATAGAGGTTTCAACAGAATTTATATAATTTGAATAGCATTCTCTGGATAAAAGCTTACAGTGTGCTCTTAACTGACTAAATATTTCATAATTATGGGTAGTCCTGTTATGTTTATAAATCCTGTGAGCAACCTTTTTATCATTAACCAAGCTCCTAAGCTGCGAGGAATACCAATGTGGAATTTTTTTCGTAGAAACTTTCCTAATGGGAACAAATAACTCAATTACGGAAAACAGAGCGTCATAAAAAATGGAAATCATCTCGGAAAGTTCCTTATCTCGAAGAAGCCCGTCCCAATACGTATACAGATAGGAAAGTAAAAAAGCCAATTTTCAGCAACTTTTGTGATATCTGCAAGAAACTCACTTTTAGGCGTCTGTGATAAGCCACTCTACGTAAAAACTCGTGCAACAAAAGTTGTAAAGCATCAAATTTTGCGTTCAGTGAGCATCGAAATTTTAAATTTGGATCAGTATCTACGCATCTTCTGATAATTTCTTAATTTTCCCTTTGAGCGCTTATTTGACCAATATGAAGGAGTTTCGCAAACTTTTGTGCAAAATGCAATAACCTCACTTTTAGACGACTGTAATTTGAAAACAGATAGACCGTTTCACAGTTGTCAGTTTTCCGTGTGCCATCACACCAAACGCTCTGTAGTTTGCCTCTAGCCTTGATTAAAATCAACGGTGAATTGTGTGAGTTTCGTTCTGTA